CCGCAAAAATTATTGTTTTAAAGATCATATTTTTGCCATAGAACGATGTATCAGCACTGCAGTAGCAAGAATTTTACATATTTGGAACAACGAAAAGAGAGATTATATAAAAAAAATCAACAAACTTGTTTGCAAAAATGAAGAATGAAGGTGCCAGTTTAGTTTTGAAAAGTACTTTTTTTTTTGTTAAATAGTTTTGAAAAGTACTAGTATCAAGTTTTGAAAAGTGCATATTTATAGTGGTTTATTTGTGGAATATCAAAGAAAAAACTAAAACTAAATAACTAACCTAAAGTGGCTAATGTGGCAAACCCATGACCATTAAAATTAGGGTTTTTAGTTAGATATTTAGTTTTAATTTTTTTCTTTCCTATTCCAAATATTAACCCCTAAACAAATTTTTTTTTTTTGAGAAAGGGAAACAAAAGTTCTTTTAAACAAGGTAAGTCACCTTCTTGCGATGACGATCGGCGCGAGACATATAGCAAGGAAAGACTAGCACCCCTAGAGAGCTTTGAAGGAACTGACACTAAATCTCCAAGACCGGAAATTCCCCATTAGCAACCGTTTTTATGATAGCCAATATGTGGTGATTTTTTAGGCAGCCTAAGCATTTTCTATTAAACATAATAAATGAGATATATATAGAAAACATATATATAAAATTATGTTTTATAGATACCAAAATTCATATAATATTTATTATTTTCATATTATAGTAAAATATATAAAGTATCATGATTTATAAAAACTAAAATTTATCTTATTTTGTTATTACAATACCATAATATTTTAGGCAGTATAAGCAGTAATTCCTTTGCCCAATGAAAGTCTAGCACCTAAATACTGTTTAAGCGGACACCTAAATACTGTTTAGGCGGACATAGTTTAGAACACTAATGATAGAATGCCGAGGAACACTAGCTATAAATAGCGTTTATATGCATAGAAAAGAGTTCATCCAAGTGAATCTAGAATAACAGAGAAATGTAAGAATATTGACACATCAGTTAAGAAAATTTTTAAAAAGAAATTTTGAGAAATGCCACTTTTGAACTGTCCACTTTTCAAAAATACCACTTTTTAAAAATCTTTGCAAAATACCACTTTTTCAAAATTATTTACTCATTATATCATTTATGTTTGAGTTAACTATGTTGTATTACGGTTTAGTTTTGAGGGTTTAGGGTTTGTTAGGGGTCAAAACATTTTTTACCG